TTTAAAGGGTTAAACAGTCTCAGTCAGAGGAGCTGCACTAAAGCTGCTTCACTGGAGACAAAGAATAAAAGTACGGATCTGGAAATGAGCAGAATAACCCCGACCCAACTATTCTTAGCTGTAAGTGTATGATCAACACCTAACAGATGAAACAAATAAATGACAGGTTCATATTTGTTAAAATAAAATCAGTTTGAATGTTTTTGCTCAGTGAAGCAGCGTCCCTAGAGCCAGTAAAACCTGGATGTGAGGTGTGAAACTAATCTAACACTGTGGTTTGGTAAAGTCAGCCGTGGCTCTCACCTGGTCGGCGTATTTAAGCTTGAGGCAGGAGATGACCTGACCCTCCAGCTCGGTTTCATCCTTGGCCTTTTTTAGGATGGAGTCACAGAACTTCGGGATGTCGGCTTTGCAGGCCTTCCTCAGCACCGGGTTCAGCCTGTAGTCTGGAAACAAACGCATAACAGATGATGATGATCTCATGCTAACAAGCAACACTTCATCTGTTCTCTCACCTCGGCTTATTTAGACTTGAGCTGCTTTATTCTAATTAATCTTTCCATTTCATTTAGCTCTGTTTTATTGAATTACTCTACTGTATTTCATCTATAATGTTTTATTAGCTGTGTTTGATGTTTTCACTGTTACACCGCAGCCATTTTTGCTCCACTCTGTGCACAGAGATGCACTCACAGCAAGACTGAGCAGAAAAGGAGAATCCAAAGAGACTGTAAAGACTCTCACAATGAGCTGAAACAAGACTGGTGCAAATAAATTAGGTCAAAGAAAATAATAATGGGTATCTGCTTTGGCTGTACTGTTTATTCTTTTACTAGTAAATGAGAAATGTTTAAATTTAAATTCTTGGAGGTATAACTAAAAAGAAAAACATGTAAATGACTGAGTCACAGTCTCCTCTTTGTCTCGTGTGTGTGTGTGTGTACCTGTGTTCTGGGTGATCTGTCGCTTGGTTATCATCTGCTTGCATTTGGGATCCATCACCTCGCTGTTCTTGTTCTGCTTCAAACACTGAAGAACGTTCTTCCCCTCTGACTCTGTACAGAAGCGCTGAACACATCAAACAGCCCGTTACATTCGGCTCAATCACAATGACAAACATCAAACCCTCGTGGACCCACAATTAAAGAAACGCCCACACCCCGAGGCCCATATTTAACCAAAAGAAACCCTCTGAGGGGCCACCGACGCCAGAGGATAAGATAACGAGTCTGTGATGTTTCTGGTCATTTGATGAAAAACTGTTTTATTCTTCGTTAAATTACAAAACAGCACAAAGATGGAGGATACGCGTCCCCGATGGGCAGAGACAAACACCATCATAACCCAGAAACGAGATGGTGATGATGAAAAGTAGGGGTGGGTTTTTATAATCGATTCATCGATTAAAATTGATTCTGGCTTGGATAACGTGAAATCGATTCATTAAAATCCTGAATCGATTTTTTTAATATAAATTTATTTTGCCCAAAACGCCAGAATCTCAGGTGAAACCTCACAAAATTTCAACAACCACCAAACAGCTAAGACAGTAAATGCGAGCAGGAACACAGATTCTGCACAAAGACGTAAACACACAGCGCGGACCCGCGGATCAGAATCAGTGAGATGTCGCGTTTCTCACCTGACGGCTCGGACAAGGTCGATCTGTCGGCGGGTCCGCGCTTTGTGTTTACGCCCTTTTTGCGCCGATTCTAAAGCTGTTAGTTTGATCTCTCTCCAAACAAAAATAAAACTG